TATTTATTGACATTATTATTACAAATTGAACATTTGTACCAATTATTTTTCTTTAACTTTCTAAATTTAAATCACAATTAAAATAAAATTTAATGTTAGGTAATCCACCTAAGAAAAAAATCTTCGGACACATTAATGCCCAGTTTCCGAAAGGCCAATCAAAGCAATCACATAACACTATGTCAAAAATGATCAGCTGTTAATCTCTTGTTAAACTGCCTTGGGTTTCTGGAAGGTTTGTTCAAGAAAAATTAGCTAATCACTGTATAACCAACGATAATTAATGAAATGAATGATTTACTTCAACTAACTCTTTCTATTGTATAGCTGTCCCTTTTTAAACAAAACTTAAATTAACGTCACTATCCAGTCCTGTCACCGTGTAAAAATCCGAGCTATAATAAAATTTAATTTATACATGCAAAATGTCAAGAAAAAACATTACAGAACGTGAAAAAAATGAACTTTTATCCATAATAAACAAGTAAGTATTATAAAAAGAAAGAATCCATATTATTTATTAACTTTTGAATTGCATTTTCTATTTTTTCTAATCGCATGATATGTTCGCATGATAATAAATAATAAATAGGTAATAGAACACATGAATTTCCTTACAACGTATTAGGGAATTATGTTTATTTCTAATAAAAACTAAGATTTTTGATAAAATACATTTTAAACCAACGATTGATCGTCCAAATTGACAGGTTACTTAATAAAACTTTTGACAGCTCGTTGACCACCGAAAAACGCTTTCAGAAACTCGATTTTCTGTTGATTGTCCGTTAATCAGTGACTAATTGCAAATCAAAATCAATGTTGTTTTCAGACGTTCTAGCAACTCAGATCATGTTAAGCAACGTTTGACAAGAGATTTATTGTAAATTTAAATTGATTGCGCTTTCGGAAACTGGGTGTAAATCTTGTATGTTGGTGTTACATAGAGAAAACATTACTAATGAAAGAATTAATGTAATTTACGGTACAGCCGAGCGTGACAATTCACTAAGTTTTAATTAGCGGTACTAGATTCAAACTTATGACTAACTTAATTCCGCAAAACTTAACCAGCGAAAATTTCCGGTAGTACGAATTGAAGCTTCAATTTTTTCGGATCAGAACTTTAACGAACCTCATTATTTTTGCAGATTGTAAATTTTCAATACGTATAATAAAGCGTATTTGAATGCAGGGTACACAATGTTATATTGACAACAATATTTGACCTACATTGGATTGTGTGGCTCGGCATTGAGGTTTCTATTCCAATCGTTTATAAAAAGGCATTGTCCTTTTTTAACAGAACGCAACTAGTAAGGTTAACAATTTTGTGATTTTTTTTATAAAGTCTAATTTGTCCAATGTTAATTGATATACAAATTTATTGCCTTTTCTTAGTCTCGAAAAGTATAATTTTCTCGTGGTCGAGCCCTAAACATGTCTTTTTAGAATTTTTGGTCTATTTTTCCGCCTAATTCCGCACGAATCTGTTAAAATTATGAGTAAATAATGTTAGGAATACGGCCGTGATATTAATTATGTTTAATTTTATATAACTTTTTCTTGTGGTTCAAATAACGGCAACTAAAGTATCGATTGCCATTCATATACCTTTATCGTCACGAGTGTTGTCTCGATTTAATTATTTAGATTTGATTATTTTTTCAATATTATAGAAAAGAGAAAGTAAAGACAAATAAAATTAAGTTATTCACCATATCAATGTTCATTTATTACAAAATGTACATTTATAATTATACAATAGACCAGTTTAATTGAATCATTGATGACGTTTTTTAGGCAGAGCTTAAATTGCTCGAATTTAGGCAATTCTACAAAATATTTTTTGGAAATATTAGCCCAAATTGAATTTCGGTATAAACAAAATTATGTGCTTTCAACAAAACAAAATTTTCGGTATAAAAATGTTCAAGAACCATTAAACTCAATCCCGAAAAAGGGAAATCAGAGATATCACAATTTAGGTAAATTTCTTTACTAAATCGAAGAGGGTATAAGCTAGTTTTTAGGTATCTATTTTCTTTTATTAAATTGTTTAAGGTATACGGATTTAATAACCGTAGGTAATAAGTTTTGCCTCAGTTTGCTTAAGTATTGTAGGTATTTAAAATTATTTTCATTAGTGTATTGGAATACTTCCATAGCAGCAATAAAGTTATAATATTCGTTTTTTATTAAAACAAATTATAATAAAGGAGCGTAAGAGTCATTTTTACATAGGAGTTAAATTATATAACTCACAGCAACTTCATAAATGGAATTACTTAGCCGTTTCCCAGTGGATATTCAATAAAACCCTAATGCCAGTTGTCGTACATCGTAACCACATTTTGCAAAGTTTAGAGCCAACCTTATCCATATTTACAGCAGCTAATATACGACAGCCAGTGAATTAACGACACACCGTAGTGCCCTTACAATTCAGGATTTATTTACTACAGTTAAGTTTTATATCAGACTAGCAACCCGCCTCGGCTGCACTCGGGTACAATGTATTATACATATAACCCTTCTTCTTGGATCACTTTATCTAGTAAAAAAAACCGCATCAAGATCCGTTGGGTAGTTTTAAAGTTCTAAGCATACATAGGGACAGACAGACAGCGGGTCGACTTTGTTTTATACTATGTAGTGATAAGTTAGAGCCTACATCTTATACAGCCTGACACTCTCGCCATGGACTGATATGACTAGCAGCTTAACTTTAGTATTAGTTAAATAAACACAAACAGTCGGGATTCTTAAAATTCATACAAAAAATCATCTCAAACGGGAGTGAGCCCACGACCCGCGGGGCGGACCTTTACAGCTGCTTTTTTTTACGTGGGGAAAAAATCTTTATGGATCCCCCGCCGTCTTGTGGGTGGACAGTGAGGGTATGCGGGAGTCCCTAGGAACACGGGGGTACCCACTAAAAAACCCACGTTGCACCTGCGCTCGCTGCCGTCGCTTTTGCCGGGGACACAGAAACACGAAAACGCAATCTTCCGCGAACCCCGGTGCGTCTGTGGCCTTCTAAGGCTTCCTCTCTCCGGGTGTTTAGACACCCGGTCCAGCCAAATGATGCCGTATCGGTGCAATAGACGCGGCACCCCTCTTGATCCCTCCACGGGGCAGTAGTTAATGCCTCGTTTGCCAAAGGGCTCGCTATCGGGGGGAAGGTTGCGCGCGTAGGCCACCTGGTCTCCGGCGGCTCGTGGGGGCTGCTCCTGCCGTCGCTTTTGCCGGGGACACAGAAACACGAAAACGCAATCTTCCGCGAACCCAGGCGCTACTGTGGCCTTCTAAGGCTTCCTCTCTCCGGGTGTTTAGACACCCGGTCCAGCCAAATGATGCCGTATCGGTGCAATTGACGCGGCACCCCTCTTGATCCCTCCACGGGGCAGTAGTTAATGCCTCATTTGCCACCCCAGGGCTCGCTATCGGGGGGAAGGTTGCGCGCGTAGGCCATTCTCCTGCGCCCTGGTCTCCGGCGGCGGATTTCCAGCGTGGCACTTGCCTCCCTTTTTCGCTCCGTGGCCTCCTTGCGGTTGATTTTGTCCCATTTTTCCGGATGAGGAAGAGTCTGCCTGTCTTCCACTTCTGCGGAATTGAGGCTTGAGCCAGACAGGCAGTAAACATCGCCCTCAACCTGGGCTCCAGGGCGTCCTCCAGGGCCAGGGCCCAGGCTCGTCCAGGAATACCGTCAGGATCTGGGGCGGTGGTTTTGGCTTTCATCTTTAGAACGGCAGCTCCCTCGGGATCACCTCAGGCACATCCACACTTACGTCGGTCTACTCATAGTCGGGTCGAACCATCACAGGTGGCGTATGCTCCTCTCGCTGAGAGAACAAAGCCGTGGTAATCGCTGTCACTAACTGAGGCTGCAGAGTTTGCGTGAGTGGGGGGGCCCAGGGGCGAAGATTGTTCAACACTATCCTGTATGGCCGTCTCCATGCATCACGATTACCTTTACAGCTGCTGCTCCAACCGTAGTCACCGAATGCTCAAATACTCATTAGAATATTTTATTTAAAATAAGAAACATTCAGGGTAGACCCCTGTTTATATAATACTATCGGACCCGACAGACGTTGACCTGTGTAACCGACTTAAATCCGACAAAAGATAAATAAAAAAATTAAAAAAATTGGGCGAAAAAATTAAAAAAAATGTGAATATTAACCATAATCGAATCGATCTGATGTCACAGAAAAAAAATCATTCAAATCGGTCCGGCCGTTTAGGAGTTCAATGACATACATACGTATAGTGGAATTATATATATATAAAGATTATAATTCTAATATTTATTAACCTTGAAAATGATTTCGCAGGGAATACCGAATCTGTGTATTTAAAGAATTTCAATAATAAAAAATTAAATAGTTCTGTTTCATTGTTTCAGTTCTGTATGTTTAATTGTAGATCTAGAAAAAATAAAAGATTCCATATTTTTTTCGCTGCTAGTCAATGTTACAAAAATATTACGGCGTATGTAATATAATTTTCCGTCTCTCAATGAGATAAAGGTTTTATATTTGATGAAAGCTTATTGTCAATACAATTTTCTTCGTTTGTATTACGTGAGCTCTTGGTACTTCTTTTATCATTGACTTATGTACTTCGTTTTATTGAATTTAGCCACTAAAAGAAATCGATATTTAAAAAAAACAATGTGTCTGTACTTATTTACGCGCGTAAGAAGTTATTATACTTCGCAACAAAAGAAGAATAACAATAAATTTTGTGTTCTGTGCCAGTACTCTTTGTTATAAAAAAGGCATACATTTTTTCAAACGCCCCAAAAGAAGTACTTATAACTTAAAAAGTTTTTGAAATATAATAGTTCTTGGATTCATAATAATCAATTGTCATTGTGATTTATGACCGTTAAGTCATGTAGTGCGCTGCTCCACTTTGACCGGACAGTGTAGTTGGATTACAATCTTGGCGGAGTAACGTTACCTGGGAGCCTTATAATTGGCTATGGACTAATATGAGCACTCCGTAGTCCTGTAGACTTTTGAGGCATCGAACGCAGAGCTCGTGGAAGAGTCAAATTCTAAGGGCTTGATATGACCCATCGCATTAGGTGTGCCGCACATTTGCGAACACTGGCCGTTGGCGTTTGGTACGGACCTGGCTCCTGGTTGTTGACTGTGCTAATCCAGGACGCGGTGAAAACCACTTTAAATGGTTAGGATGTTTGTCAGAATATAAAATAGCTGTGTAACCACGGCGTGTTCTTCACAATATGGCTCGCCCTGAAGAAAGTATACCGTGAGCGGGCGGCTCATGGGGAGAGTGACTTGGATTGGCTCATGGGGGGAGTGAATTGCGGTATCGAGGGTTTGGATAGTATGCGTTCGTTTGTCTAGCACGTTTAGTGCAAACAGCTTGAGATTCATTTATATTGCTATTCACTCATGTACACTATTGTTAAACTGTTGTGTGTACTGTATTGAGTCACTATTGATCTTCTTATATTCATTTCAAATGTGTTATAATCTTAATTTTATTAATAGTTATAGAAAAAAATCCCATTTGTACCTGGGCTTATGTAAAAAAGAAAAATCTCCAAACAAGTTAAATTTCTTTTAGGAGAACCGCTTATAATTTTAGGGTAAATCAGTACCGATATATAACTGTTACGATCCACTGCATCGCCACATATGAAGCAGTCAAGCGATTTCGAATCAAAGTCAAGTCAAAGTCAAATATCTTTATTCAATATAGAAGCATTCACTTACTTATTGATACTCAAAAAACTCTACCACCGGTTCGGAAGGTAAGCCACTGGACCTGAGAAGAACCGGCGTAAGAAATTCAGCGGGACATTTTTTTTTTACTTGCCAAATAAATTACAAATATGTGTACAATTATTAAATTCCACTTGAAAGAGCCTGGAGCGATCAATTCATTATCTGAATGATAACACTCTGGGTGTTATCATTCAAATAATCACTAATACTATAATAGCCATTAACACACAAACGTTCTTTTACAAGTTTTTTGAATTTAGCAACGGATTCATTTTGAACGTTTTCTGGGATTTTGTTGTAAAAGCGTATACATTGTCCCATAAAAGATTTACTTATTCTACGCAATCTAGTTGAGGGTAGAACTAATTTATGCTTGATCCTAGTATTTACATCATGCACATTACTAAATCTTGAAAAGTCATTCTTATTTTTGTGGACATAAATAACATTAACAAGTATGTACTGAGAAGCTACAGTCAATATTTTTTTTTCTTTAAACAGGTTTCTTAGTGAATCTTTGGGGCCCAGGTTATAAACCGCTCGAATAGCTGTCTTTTGCAGGATGAAAATAGTATTTATATCGGCTGCATTTCCCCAAAGTACAATGCCATAAGACATAATACTGTGGAATAAAAAAAATTGTTGCACTCTTATATTTTCCTAAATAATTAAGACGTTTTGAGTGACAAAAGATTTAGATATAGATCTTTTTAAATATATATCCAACGTATAAGTTCCAATGCTATGATAAAAAAACATTAAAAAAGTTTGCATAACCATTATTATTTAATGATTCACATGATATTTTGGGCTGCTACATAGAACTTGCTATTCTGTTATTTAATCGAAAATAGAATACAAAAAAGAAGTTAGCGACCTTACATTCTATTACATAAGCCTTAGTCTCAATAAGGAAAATAATTTGGTAAATCAAAACTGATACGAAAATTGAACGATGTAATTTTCTTTACGGCTTACCCAAACTTTGAATGTTAAAGGGTCGAGAAAATAGAACTGTTTTTTTTTTTGTTAAAAACATAATGTGACATAAACATAATTCTTTCAGATTCTGTTAATAATGTACCTACGTATTATTTTGAAATTTCTAAGTTTCGAATTTCTGATCTAGGGTTCAAATTGTTGTGGTGAGCATTTATAAAATTTAGTCAAAACTCCAAGTACATACTAAACCAATGCTGCAGTTTAAAAAGCTTTGAACGATTTGTCGTTTTGTTTCACTGGATCTCCATTGTTTTAACGAGAACTAGATAGTCTCACGGTGTTGGATTACGTTCGTTTGAAGTGGTCACAAGTAACGCAATAAACTTCTAAGCTTACTTTTTTAACGACTGAGCGGTCAGCTTTTAGGACAAGCTTTATTTGATGTAAAATGAATGCATAAATCTAACTCTACCACAGAATGTGTGGTAGAGTTAGATTTATGCAACGATAGTTACGCTGCACCTACTGTTGAATTTTTTTTAGCTTTTGAATTTTTTTATCATTAAATGATAATAAAAATTCAAATTGAATTCTTATAAATTATAAAGTGATGTAATCTAAGTTTGATTTAATTTATTAAAACTAAAGCACATTTTTTATCGCTACGAATGCGCAAAAATACTTTTCTAAGTGACGTCATCGAATGCGATGCATAAAATACAATACGTTCGAACCATTAAAAGGCACTTCAAATCCATCCCACTGGCTCGTGAATGAATTTAAACTGTGACATGGGAATCCGCTTAAAGCACTTTTAATTCAAACGTACTACCTGTCTCTCTTCTATAAGCTGTTTTCGTTGAAATCTACTCATATATTCCGAGAAGGGTAGTTTAAAATTTAGTGGCGACTAAAGTTGAAAATAACAGGCCGAAGTTAAATTTTTGTGCCTTTCGAAAACGTTGTATACATTTTTTTTAAGACTACTATTACTAGCGCTGTTAGGAAAGAATAGGCTATAACATTTTACTGTTTTTCTCTGCAAAATCAAGTTTGCATTTGATTTGTTTTCTTTCGATTTATCTGTTGGTTTTGGTCTGTTTGATCCATATTCAGCGGTTAATTGTAATAATAAAGGAACATATCCAGTTTTGTATAGGGGAAAACTTTCTCCATGAGCTAGAAATTAAACTTTTTAAGAACTTAGGGTATAGCTGCATTTATTTTTATTATAATTCAAATGTCTAAACTTTTTTAGAAAACAAACTCAAAAAAATTTATGGCAGTATTCAAGCATGCGCCTTAATGGTAACGCACCCAGACGTTTAAATCACTAAGCTAAACAGTCGATATTTTTACCGCGGAAAAATTTCGACGTCTTATCGCTGACGACGTAGTTTGAATCCGGGCGTTGTTAAATATATTGTAGATATTTTATTAACGTATTTCTTTTTATGACTAGAATTATATATTTTAAAAAGAAATAAAATTGTATTATACAGGGTGGCTTTTCTTAAGGTGCCCAAAGTCACACAGGAGTTTCAGACTCGGTAGTGTAATCTTTTATTGAAATAAAAACAAACTTTTTTTTTTTAGAAAAATGCCATTCTATTCCCCAAAAAAAAAAAAACAGAATTTGTTGACAATGCTGTAGTCATTCTTAAATGCGTCGTATACTTTTGAACGAACTTGTGTACGTGTTAGTTATGAACGATCGCGCGTAAAATAAATGAGTTGCCCATAAATCACGCACATTTTGAGATAAATTCAAATGAATGTAATTAATTAATTACGAGTGTTAAATATTTATCATTTTAATAGAATATTATTTCATGTCTAGAATTTATTTAAAAAAATGGATACATTAAGTATACCTCCTTGTATATAAATTGTATTTTCAGGCACAAAATTAATGACGTTTTTTTTTATTTGAAAAGTTGTCAAACGAGCAGACGGTGCACCTGATGTTAAGCGAATACCGCCGCCCATGGACATCTGCCGCACCCGAGGGTTACAGATGCGTTGACAACCTTTTGAAAATTGGGCTCCGGCTACCTCACTCACCAAACGAAACGCGAAAGTATTTGTCATACTTCCACTTTACGCTGGTCTTCTGTGAGGTCGTGGTACTTACCCGGACGGGCCTACCCATGACGGGCCTGCCCATGACGGGCCTGCCCATGACGGGCCTGCCCATGACGGGCCTGCCCATGACGGGCCTGCCCATGACGGGCCTGCCCATGACGGGCCAACAGCTGCGTGCTGCGTTGCCCTACCATCGTAAACGTGACTTTCTTCCAAAAACTTAATCTGTCAATATCTTTATGTCATTATGAGTATAATCACTACATAGTATAAAACAAAGTCGTTCCGCTGTCTGTCTGTCCCTATGTATGCTTAGATCTTTAAAAACTACGCAATGATCTTAATGCGGTTTTTTACTAGATAGAGTGATTCAAGAGGAAGGTTTATACGTATAATACATTGCACCTGTGTAAAGCCGGGCGCGTCGCTAGTATGTTATATAAGCCTAAAAATACATTGTGCTAACTTTCTCCTAACTCATTATGACAGGCGCTTACAATCATATCGGAATGATAACGAAATAATTTAATTCAAATAAAATAATTATTTTCATTTAATCCAAACCTTCAAATAACTTTAAACTAAAAATGTGAACATTATATACAATGGATCTGATTTTTTTTATGTGAGGAATACAAATATTGTTTCTTAACTTTCAGTAATAAGAATAATGTGAAAGGGTAACCTATTGATATCGTTCCATGTTTTATTTATATGTGGATCGGATAACTGTATGCTGTCATCGGTAATGGAGCCTGCAGGAACAAGTCTGTCGAAACAACGGAGAATGTTTCCTTGTTGATTTAGGATCGTATATTTGTCCTTAAATGTCCCTCAGACGGGATAGTGAGTTTCTGTGTCAAATTTATGCTTATAAATAATAAATAGTTTTTCGTTAGTTTTAGTGTATTGTGCTTTATCGTTATAAAATATCCAGACTTTTGTAAGAATGACCCGGAAGGAGGTTGCTTGAAAATTTCATATATTTCAGTTAAATAAACAAATATATTTCAGTAAAACGCGATCAAAACAACGAGTAGCTGACGTGGAGAAATTGTGTTTGAGGAATAATTTGTACAGAATTCTATCTTGAGGGAGTACAGACATCGTACACGAAACAAACATAAATAGTAGTAGCGGGAAGACAGTACATCATGTGCTATGTTTTTCGGTGTGATTGTATATACATCATTAAATCGGTCTAAATATCCGTGACTGCGTCCAAGTGAAATTCAATAGGTACATGAATTCGGAATGAACTTGTAATAACTAACCAAAATAAATATCTTAGATATTACCTAATCACAAGTAGATTTTTAAAATGATATCAATGTCTTACTAAAAGGTCACCTTTCAGTGGAAATAAAATTAGAAAGTAGCAAATTTTCATATAATCTACCTTACTTTATTTAGATTAGTAAGTGGTACAATTTGAAGTCTGGAAGACCCTATGCTTTAAGGCCAGTCCATGTGTCACTTTATCATCACCTCAAATCGTCTTTGTGAGTATATGCATAAAATCTGAAATCTAATAAGTTAAATTACTCCGAAACTAGCTGATAGCCGCGACTTTGTCTGTCTTGCTTTGTTGACAATGTATTTTATGTGCAGAGGAATAACATAAAAATCAACACGTCTCCACCCACTTTCCACAACAAGTATTATTTAAGTAATTGTAATGATATAATGTTTAATAATTAAATAATTACAACTGAGGGATGTAGGAAGTAAAAACCGATGAACAAATGAAAAATATCACCTTTTTCCGATTGTATTGTTTTTTGGAGACAAAATTTAATGTATACTTTTATCGAACAGTTTGCAAAAGCAATATTTTCTAATATTGCTTTTGCGTATTTATCACGCGATAAGCGTTTTATAGAGGGTATGATTTATTAGAAATTGGTGGTAACTTACGAATCTATTATTTTTTATGTAAAATTTTGACATTTCATAAGAACGCGCAAGCGTCTACGTGAATAAATATATTTTTGATTTTGATTGTCACGTAAAGAAAAAGCGATCACTTTCAGATTACTTATTACCTATTTAGTTACTTACTAGATTTTATTCTATGTCGAAAGTTGAATTTATTAAAAGGCAGTATTTTTTAGCGCATCAAATATACAAGTACCGAGTACAAAAATCTTATTATTACAATAGATTTTAGAAAAAAATACAATAAAATGAGAGCATTTTATATAATTTCATACCATTTTGCCTTGTCCAATACACACGATAATTCTAAACTAGCGGTCTAAAAGCAAATATTTTATTTAATTTCCAAGATAAGAGCAAAGCAAACTGCTTTGTATTTAAATATATTTTTCAATATATTCTTTGTATTCAGTATTGAATGTAATAATATTTGCTGTTGTTTGAATCGAATAGAATCCTCTTAATAATTTGTAAACGTTTCAAGTTTTATTAGCAAAACTAATGTTAATTTACTTCTATTGAAGTTTTATTCAAGTCTTAAAAATAAAGAACCTTACGATAAATTTTAGGCAATAAATACTTAGTAAATAAATGAAATGTCAACTCCATACTTCGCATGAACGGGGAGGTTTTGCTCCTTAAGGGAGTCTAGCACCGTTTCGGTGGGAATGTTGGAGGGTATACACTTTATGACGGCGCGTAGGATACGATCCTCGGCCAGCGTATAGGTGTGGTAGAACACCTGTTTATCCCTTAAAAATTTGGAAACCTGACGGTGGGCGTCGGCAGTTTCAAGCTGAAGCTTGATGCCTTGTGCGGTTGTTGTGGCTACAAATTTTAGCCTGTTAGAAAGGGCGGAGGCTATCATCGGCCACTTTTCAGTGTCTCGAATGAAGAGTGGGGGTGGGCGCTTGTCCTGCGGCGCACGTGGGGCTGCGGGAGGCGCGGGGGTTGGTTGAGAAGCAACCGGGGGGGCCTTGGCGCCTTGACTGGCGGAACGGGGGACGGAGCCGCTGAGGACGGCTGCGAAGAGCGCTTTTTGCGCTTCTTCTTGTTCACCACTTGGGTGAACAAGCCGCCTTCATCAGCGTCGGGGGAGAGCGGCGAATCGAGCTCCATTTCCTCTTGCGAGGAGGAGGAGCTCGTAGCAGCGCCTTGGGAAGATGCCCTTGAGGAGGATCTTGATGAATTCGTCGCTTCTTCGACGACTTTCCTATATAATTCCGGATATTTTTCCATCAGGAAGTCGAGCATTCCCTCCGGGTGGGCCATCTCGACTGGGACGTTATCCTATTATATGCAATTTATTCCGCTGGGATGCCGGGGTGTGTGCCCGTATCCCTCCCTGCCGGGTATAGGCAGGGAGGATGAGTGCCTAAATTGTGTGGCCCTAGTGCGTCCTTGTGCCGATCTTATTGTGCACACGGGTGTGTACTTATAGCTAATTAAAACTACCCGAGGGCGCTAAAAGGCCAAACGTGGACCACCGCTGACTAGGGACTACACCCAAGGCCAGTGATGGTGGTCCCTTCCGAAAATTCGCGGTTCTCAGGAGAGAACCGCAAGGCGATCGGGGCAAGCCTTGGCTAGCTTCGTTAGCACCGTTAGGTATCCACTAGCCCTAAGACGTTTGAAACAGAACCGCTGCTAAGCGCGTTGGTCGGCGCAGTCAAAACTGCACCTCGCAACTCGACTTGCGAGCGGGGTGTCCACTCGTAATAAAAATCACGAATGAACGCGGCGCGCGGTGCGCGACGACTGAGCGTCCGCGGCGAGCGAGTCGGCACGCGGAAGCGGACAGGGGTGGGGGGTAGCAAAAGCAGAGAGAGCGCGTGCCAAGGCGTGCGTTCGTCTCGACTGTTGCGAGCGGAATGGCAGAAGACTTTAAATATCTCACTCGCTATATATTTTTATGGCACAAGAAGGCAAATGAGAAAGTGGGTCGCCTGATGGTAAGTGATTGCCGCCGCCAATGGATACTTGCAGCATCGGAGGAGTCCCAATGGCGTTGCCGGCCTTTAAGGTACGAAAGGACGGTCCAGAAATGATGAGGAAATTCGGCAGTGGGTATCAATTCGAACGAGTTATCAGAGCACTTCCCGTGATTTATCCGATAGAAAATGCAAAGTGATAAGTAGGCACTGCATGAAAAGTAGGCGTAAACGCACCCCAATAGACATGGTCATGGTCCACCTAGACCTCTCCCCAGAAGGGAAAGCCATTTTTAATATCGAGTCAGTCATAGTACTGACCAACATAGTTATCGAACCCCCGCACAAGGCCACCCTCCCGGGACAGTGCCATAAGTGCCAAAATTACGGGCACGCCGCCCGTAACTGCTTTGCCAAGCCCAGGTGCGTAAAGTGCCTAGGCGATCACGGCACCCCGGAATGTCCCAGACCAAGGGACAAGGCCCTTCTGGCCACCTACGGCCCATCCGCATGCGTCCTCTGCCAGTCGGAGGGACACACAGCCAATTATCTTGGCTGCCCCAACGCACCTAAGCGCAGACCCACTAGGCCCGCCCCTCAGGCAACAAGAAGGCAGCCGATTCCAACGGCCGCCTCTTTCCCTCCTCTTCGCCCCGCGTGGCAGAACCCCGTGGCCCCCGCTTGGGCCAAACCGAATCCGCCACTCGCGGAACCCAAAGCTGCCCCTCAACCGGCGCTCATCCCACAAACACCACCAAAAGCGGCCGGGGGCAACCCCCTGGACTCGCTAAGTCAACTCCTCCGAACCGTCGACATGGCGGAGGTAATGTACTTTGCCGAGCAGTATGCCAAAGGCAACTTCAGCTCGCGATTACTCCTTCTAGACCAGTACCAGCACATAGTTGCTGCGCTCTCAGTTTAAACCGAACATGGATAGTACAACTAGAAGCAATAATAACGAAAATATCAGTCCCTCTGCCACGCGTAACAACGGCAGAGTCAAACCGCGATCGATTAATGTAGCACTCTACAACGCGAACGGGCTTAAAGAGCAACGCGACGAAATACGTATTTTCTTACGCCACCACCAAATAGATATACTGCTAATTCAGGAGACGTTCCTGAAACCCGCGACAAGGGATCCGCACATCCCCAATTACCGGATAGTTAGAAACGATCGTGCCGGCGCCCCGGGCGGCGGCACACTAATTTACTATAAAAAATCTCTCCACTGCGTACCGGTAGACACGCCCGCGCTCACGCATCTCGAGGCCTCCGTCTGTCAGCT